TCTTTGTCTTTATTAGCAAAAGGAAAACATGTTTCTTCTGTGGGTAGCCTAACATTTCTTTATCTGATTCAATTTACAGAAATTCACGAAGATCTATTAAATTAAATGGAAAGCAAGAGGAGAAAAGAAACAAACTGAAGAATATTTCACTGAAATACACGGCAGCAAGACTATATGAAAAGGGAGTTATTCTAGAAATCGATGAACTTCAGCCTAATCAGTAGGTTTTGTATAGCTGATTTATCTATTCAAATGAATTTTTCATTTTAGAATTTAAATGAGTCATTTTCACAAGTTTTTTGGTTTTAACTCAGTAACATTTTAATGTGAAATATATTTCTACTTACAAATGATTATTTTTCCTCTTCATAGATTTAAGAATGTGATGTTTGAAATTACACCTGGTGAAGAGGTGGGTGACTTTGATATTAAAGCTAAATTCTTAGGTGTGGAGATGGAAAAAGTACAGCTCCATTTTCAGGTAAATTGTGTTTTTAAATCATGTGTGCTTCATTGGAGGCTTCTCTAGACTCTAGAGTGGGACTAGAAAGAAGGAACATGCATTCAGACATCATCAGGGGTCCTATTTTGAAATATAGGACTTTACAAAGTAGTTTACTCTTATCAGAATCTTCATATCAAACAATAAAAAGGCAGAATTCCATCAGTTATGCCAGATTAGTTCTTGGATTTTTGTCATGTTTATTACTGATAAACTTTGAAATAAAATATACACTGCCAAAAATTAGGAGAACTGATTAGAGCATTGCTTTTCAACCACAGCAATGTTAAGATATGTTGATATCAACTATCAGAATTCCTATCCATCATGATTGAGAAACATTGGATTAGATAATTACTCTGACATAACTATTGACAATCTGCATAAGTCTGTATTCACTAGTCTTTTCTTATAGAGATACTTCTGCTTTCTTGTAATGCAGAATTATAATCCTTTTTTAAAGTAGTCACAATTTAGCAATACTTTGCCACTATTTTTGGATCTTATTGGATTTGCATTTGTCGTTGGGTTTGTGTCTCTTCTTTCCCAGTGCAGGAGCACTAATCTTCCCCAAAATAAAGGAAAAAGAACAAGGAAGCAACAAACTACCATCTATTATAGCAAAAGCAAATAGTGACTGACTCATCAAACTGCTTGCTTTCAGGATAAATTTGATATAAAAGTGCATGATAGTTGCTGGCTAGTATCTCAAACTTCTAGAGGGCCACATCAAGTTGTCTAAACAACATAATGCCTTCCTATTGGACAGTTTTCTGCTTGGCTTAATTGTATCAATTGTATAAATGGTTTTGAGACTTCTTGATTTTAATTTTCAAGATTGGATTTAGGTCCATCTAGCATTAGGAAAAATGCTAGGGAGGGCTGTTTCACATTTTGCTTGTCTACATGTTTGACTTATAAGCAGTGGCAATTCTGACTTCAATTTGAAAATACTTTCATTTTTATTCCTTGCTGCAGGACTTGCTTCAAATGCAGTATGAAGGTGTTTCTGTAATGAAAATGTTTGAGAAAGCTAAAGTGAATGTGAATCTCCTGATTTTTCTGCTGAACAAGAAATTCTATGGAAAATGATTCACTACATTTTGTTTCAATCAAGTCCCAGTTCTGTCTGTAGCCTAAATATTTGAATCTATTATACAACAGATCTTTCTTCAAGGCAGCCCAGAAGAAAAATTACTTGTGTGCCTTTTTCATCCTTTGATAATATAATAAAATAAGAATCTACGAATCAGCTTAAAACACTTCCTGATTTCTGTGGTGTTGGTATTCAATTAAAGATAAGATCAAGTGACATACAAACATTGTATGTCTGATTTTAAAAATATGGACATTTGAACAGCATATATAGAAATCTTACCTCAGTAAAATTATATACTTGTAAATCAATATCAAGTACAGTTTTCCTTATTATTCATAGGAAAAATAATTTCTAATATGAATCTCTAAAGAATAGCTTTGGCAAATATTTCTTAAGTGCTATTTTTCCAGAAGCCTGTCAATTGTAAAGTGAATTATTGTACAATTTAAAGTTTTATAAGTAATAATAAATTTAACATTTACTGTATAAAATATATATTTTGCAATTCATTCCTATTAAAAATGCACTACTGCCTCAGTAAAATCTATACACAGCCTTTTAATTTAAGTGTAAAGAAGTAATTGGAATAGTGATCTGTTTTTTGCAGTGTATTTGAGGTATTTTAAATAAATTGTGCCTGTCTTTTTTGTAAGAAAACAAAAAATTCACAAATAAAATGCAATAAATCATAATCTGGTTAATTATTTAATTTTCTTTCAATAAGTGTAGTTCTTTTATATCTAATTGGGAAGACTCAGTAACTATGAAGTTACTGTGCCCACTTATGGACACAAAGAGTTTCTCACTCCATTTCCAACAATGGACTATTCCTTTCAAATTTTGCAATGGCTTTGATAGAACATAAGTTGACCACAAAATCAAGACAATAGCCCAGATTTTCCGCAACTATATCAAGTTAAAAGGTAAACAGTGATTAAAAAACTAGAAAAAGGCTCAAAAAAAGAATAAAAGTAAATGTGCCAAGTTCCAACTTTCTTTGATTCAGATATAGTTATAGATGACGTAGATATATATAGAACGTCGTACTTCTCCTCTGCTGCCCTGTGTGAGCTGCCTTTGCTTCAACTCCCCCCACCATCTCCCCATCATCTCTGACTCTTGGCCACCCTGAACAGCATGGCTGAGATAAAAAGGCTGCTGTCACTTCCTCCCTCACTGCCACTACCTCCAGCTGACTTCTTTGCTTTCCTTGTCTCATCTCCCCTCTGTTGGGCTTGCCTTTGCCTTCCTGGCCACCAGGCTCCTGGCAGGCCTGCCCCATTGCAATAGTCTCAGCCTGTCCCCAGCAATGGGTCATGCATGCATGATCACCACCAACCATCACCACCACCAGCATTGGCGAGCCCAACAGAAAAGAGACAAGATGAAGAAAATGAAGATCAATTGGAGACAACACCAGGTAGGTGGTGGTGGAATACAGCAACCTCATTTTGGCCATGCTGTGCAAGGCAGCCAAAAGGCAGAGACGGAGGGGGAGATAGGTCGTGGCGGGAAGTAACGTGGAGGCAGTTTGCACAAGGCAGGAAAATGTGACTTAAGATCGCTGCAGTGATCATAAATATAGACCAGTCACCAAGTGCCCAAATTTTGAGCAGGTGACCCAGGGATGCTTCATTGGTCATAAGTGCAATGACTGGTCATAAGTCTATTTTTTTCAGTGCCATCGTAACAATGAATAGTCATTAAACAAGTGGTCATTGTATGACTAGTGGTTTTATTTTGGATTCAGTAAAGGAAAGCTTCAAAGTTCAGAGTTTCTGAGAACAATAAAGAGAAAAGATAATAAGCCTTTTGTCCTGACACCATTTGTAGGTTTTTGGAGATATCAAGTTGACCACGGGGAAACCAAAGGTTTTGATTACACATTACCCTAAAATTTAAAAACTATTTTACATCCATTATAAACAGTCCATGGGAATGTTGACAAATCTATAGCAAATCCATTGAAATGTTGCTGGAACTTAGAAATGAAAGAGCCAAAGTTACATTTTAATTATATACACTTATATTTATTATCTTATTTACTTATATTTGTTTAGCTGTCCATGTCCCATGAAAGTGTCTGAGTGGTGTAGAACACTAAATTAAAAAAGAATACTTTAAAAACAGTCACAATTTAAAAAATAATTATAAATAAACACACAGGAGAGAATATTAATCCCAATAAAGGAGCCATTGCAAAATCTCCCCAGTCCCGAGACCCCCCCCCCGGCCTGACAACACAGCCAGATCTTGAGGGACTTGTATAATGTTTAGGGATGGAGCTAATATCTCTTCCAGGGAGTGAAGATTCCCCAGTGGGCATTGTAGCATTTTAAATACATTTGGATTCAAGATAAAGGAAATTTACATGGAATATATGACCAAGTACAATTATTTAATATGTTTCATCAATAGATACACTAAAACTTGCAGAAGGCAACTGGTGATACCAGTCTTAAATCTCTGCATGTATTGGCTTAAACACAGATTCTATTTAGTATTGCAATTGGCATAATAGCTATCTAGACCAGTGGTTCTCAACCTTTTTAATGCCGCGACCCCCAACCGGTCGTAAGTCGAGGACTAAACCGGTTGTAAGTCGAGGACTACCCAACCAGTCATAAGTCGAGGACTTTCCCTGCCCGGGAGTGCCGCACATGCGTAGTTCCGCCCCCTGCGCCGGCCGAGGCGTAGCTGGCAAGCGGCAGAGACGGAGCAGGCCTACCACCAGCTGGCCCAGCTCAAGGGAGGTAAGGCACCCGCCAGAAAAGGGGGAAAAAATGGCGGACAGCCTTGCTTGGCGACCCCCGTGAAATGGTCAATTGACCCCAAATGGGGTCGCGACCCATAGGTTGAGAACCGCTGATCTAGACCAATTGTAAGAGGAACCCCAGTAAACATTAACATAAAATATTACACAAAAACAATATTTTTTGCTTCACACATGACAAAGTGTAGCTGTTGGACTTTTTCTTCCTGTGGATTAACATGTGAGAGGAGTCATGGATAGCATTGGGGGGGGGGGGAAACTAGTGATAGCTTTCCTATTGTGAAATACTCCTCCCGCCCCCCCCGCCCCCAAACATTGGTAGGTTTGTTTATTTCATTTTATTTTCCTGTTGGCAACAAGCAAGGTCTTTTTCCATTATGTCCAACTTTTTAGATCGTTTCATCCTGCCAAAAGTCTGGTTGAAAAATAAAAGTTTAGCCTATTATGTCTTTCTTGTTTTGCCTTACCAAAACAAGTAATGCTCTCTTTCCCCCGCTCGACTCCTTGAGGGGGGAACAAAGTTGGGGCAGCATCTCTCCAGCCTCCCCCTCGGTTTGGGGCGGGGGTTTTAGGGGGAACCTCCCTCGGCCTCACAAGGCGACGCGCTTCCTTTCCTTTTCCTTTCCTTTCCCAACAAGGCAGAAGGAGTCCGCTGCGCGCGGCTCTTCCTTCGGTTTTCGCCGGCTAAGGCGGCCATGGGGCCGCCGCTCGTCCTAGTCGCCCTGGGCTGGATCGCGGTGCTGGCCCTTCCCTTGCACGGCTTCTCCTCGCCGCAAAATGGTAAGGCTGAGGCGGGGGTGTTCCTGCCAGACGGGAAGCGCGGGATTTAGGGTGGTCGCGGCGGGGGCAGTTCAGCCATCTTTTCGAGCACGAACGGGGACCCTGCACTGAGTCTCCTTGCTGGTCTCCCCAAAGGAGCAGTTCTGTATGCTTGGAGATAAATATTCCCCCTTCCTTGATATGAAAACGCCTCGGGATTGATAAAAGGCGAAGTCGTCCGGGCTTGTGCCTCACCTGGCGCTTTGAACTTTGGCAAGCAGAAGCTGAATTTTCCACTCCCGGAACCGCCTTTGCTCGCTTGTATGACTAAATGAAGCACTTGCTATATAAACGTTTGCTAGTTTAGAAATACTACTGACATTTCGATTTGGTTTATTTATTTTTTAATCCATCCCACTGCGGCTGCTTTCGACTGAAAATTTGAAGTCTGTTCTGAAGAGCGGTGTTTTCAGTTGCCTTTATTGTGGCTTCCTCTCGTTTCTTTTAAATTGTCTTGTCTTGAATTGTGACTGGCCCTCACTTCTGCCTCAGTTCGATTTTTGCAGCAGCCTTTCCTTCCCACCACTTCCTGGAATGCGTTGGACTACAAGTCCCATTTTCTTTGGGCATCGCAAACCTTTGGGCAAGAAGGGAGAGTTACAATCCAATTCATTTGCAGAGTGAGAGGGTTTAGATTAAGCTGCTTGAGAGAGGAATTCTAGATGGATCTCCTGCAAAGCAAAAGTACTTTATCGAATTTGATCCTTGGTATGAATAAATGTGACTTCAGTTCTCTAGGTCTGTAAAATCAGTTTTGGTGTTTTCTCCCTCTGTGATAACTTTAGAACTTGAGGTCAACAAAAGGAAGTTAACTTAAACATTTTATTGAAGTGGAATTAACGAAGAGTAGTAATAATAATTAACTTAAACAATTTAAACAAGAATTAGACATATTGTTGGAGTATACAGTTATTGATAGCTAATAATCATGGAAATTCATTACTTCAGTTGTCAAAGTCAGTTGTATTCCTAATATTGGGGATATGACTAAGGCAGTGGTGGCGAACCTATGGCACGGGTGCCAGAGGCGGCACTCAGAGCCCTCTCTGTGGGCACGCACGCCGTCGCCCCAGTCCTAGGCCTTCAGCTGGGTTTTATAAAACCTTTTCGCTTTAGGCCTCCGCCGCCGTGTGCAAAAAAAAAAAAGTTCAATCAATCAGTCAATTTCAACTTCTCGCAGAAAAAAAAAGAANAAAGTTGGAATTGATTGATTGAACTTTTTAGTCCCACCCAGTCTGCCGTTACCACCGCAGCCACGTCCACCCAATGGACCATGCCCACCCAATGGCCACACCCACCCAATTGGCCACGCCCACCTGGCACCCGACAATACATAAGTGGGTTTTAGGTTGCAGTTTGGGCACTTGGTCTCTAAAAGGTTCGCCATCACTGGACTAAGGGAATGTTGATGCTCTTACACATGGTTAGTAGGCTTGAAACAGGCATGTGGTTTATTTATTTATAATATTTACAAATTGCCTCAATTGTTATTTAGGCAAGATTTAGACCCCCCAAAATACCAAGCCCCAAAACTTACTTAATCATCAAACAGTAATTTATGGTCGCCCAAAACCATCCAGGTTAAAAAAGCACATCAGAATGGAATGGTCTTCAAAGGCTTACAAAATGCAAACGTTGGGCAATTCAACCTTCAGAGGGAATATATTCTGAAGCATGAGGATTACTATTGAAAAGGAAACTGGAACGCATTCCATAAATTCTCATGAGGATAGGACATTCAGGAAACTTGCTCTAGATGTTCAAGCCAGAATCATCAGTTTGATTCATTATCAACAGTAGATATTGAGCAAAGGCTAGATTGGATATTTGGTATAATCTAATATGACTTTTCTTATATTTTGAGTTTTGTTTCAAAGCTACTAAATTATCAAGAGTGCTGAAATACTGTGGAACTTTCAGTTTTCTTGAATCTCATTAAAATGATGGGAGATAAACAGACAGAAAGCAAAATAGTATATGTTGTTGTGAAAGAAAAACCACTTTTAAATATTAGCTTAATTAGTTTTTTTTAGCAGAAAAGGGTATTATTTAGTTTAACAAGTATTTTTTAATGTTTTGTATAAAAGTATATGATTTCTTTAACAAAATAAATTTTGATGTTTGTGCTGCCATGAATTTGTTATAGCATAATCTGCTGTAACAATTCATTTGAAACTAGGATTTAAAGAAGATGAGTGAATAAATCCCTCCTGTACCCAGTCAGTTGACTTCAGTGGACTGGAAATTTTATTGTATAAGAGAGACTGAAAGAATGGGATATATTTAATCTCCAGAAAAAAAAGACCAAACAATGTCAATAGAAGATCAAGACTTGTACTCCTTAAAGGCAGATTGTAGAGCACAGAATAACAATCTCTGACAGATTCCAGTTAAGCAAACCTCATAACTCTCTCCTCCCTCAGTTCTTTTAAATAAACAAAAGTTATTGTGCTATGCCACTAAGAAGTGAGTTATCTCTATTTCTGAATAGAAAAATAGACTAGAAAATGTTTTCAACATAACAAACAACCCCCCCTCAAAAAATTCTATGAAATGTTATCCATTGGGAGATAATTTGACCACAGTAAAAATTAACAAAAACTAAACAGCAATGGACATTACATAAAAAGAATAAAATCAATATCTGTTATAATGTATGCTGAGAATTAAAAGAATACTCTGGAATTATAAAAAGGTAAGCATACCTACCATCTAAAGTTACTAATAAGATTTATAATGAAACAACCTTGCTACCATTCTTAGTCTCTACTCATTATCACTTCTACCAGTCAATCTGGTTTATTGAACAAATAGATTTCAAAACTTTCTTAAATTATTATTATCTAATTTATTGTTGCCCATCTCACCCATTTGCCTCCAGGGACGTATGGCATTATGTAGAAAGATAGGGAAATTCTGAAACTGATTTTAAAATACACACAAACAAGATGGAGCTACACATACAAAGGGAGTGGAAAAAAGAAAAACACCACTTCTATTGTAGGAACAGGATAATGCCAAGAAGGCACTAGAACAAGTAGTGGGAATAACTTTAGTTCACTGTAATTGCCATTGTGATTCTTAATAATTGTGTTGTATTTTTAAAAAGTATGGAACCGGTATGTAGATGACATTTTTGTCATAATAAAAAAGGAACAACTAGAGAAGAGAAGTTAAATGAAGCAATCAACAACACCTTCAGAGGAATAGCATTCACAAGAGAAAAAGAACATAACAACACACTTGCCCTGCTGGATATCAGTTGCAGCAGAGGAAATGACGTAAAACTAGAAACCCAAGATATTGGAACCTCACCCACATTGTGTTTTTGACTACCAAAATACCAACTTCCCATGAGGAGCTATGTAAGAACTTTATTCAGATGAACATAAACACACTTCAGCAAGTCAGTATGCTAGAAAGAAGAAACAGACCACCTATACAATATCTTACAACAAAATGGATACCCATGTAGCTTTATCAAAAAGTGCACACAACCCACTACAACATATCCAGTTGTATCCCATGTATCAAAAACTTCTCAGAAACAATTTTTGTCATGGTCTTAAACTGTTTCAAGCAATATGAATCTAAGCAGCATGTAACATACCATTAAGACAATGACTACTAGAATTACACAGCATCACTATGGCACACAAACCATCTAATGGTCTCCAAATCATCTTAAGCAAATCAAAGGACCTAGTGACCCAAGGAAAAAAAACGGGGTCGCCCATTATATATAGTTCAAGGACTGCAACAGCCACTATATATGACCGGCAGGCAGAAGACTAGCAGAATACATACAAGACCACTAAGAACACGTAGCAGTCAAAAGACTTGAAAAAAACTCCTTAATTTCACAACACAGACTCAACCACAATTTCAAATGGGGAACTATTAGCATATTAGACCAAGGCAAATCCAAAAATGTTCCTGGAAGTTTGACATTTAGACAAATTGGCCATCAGTAGATTATGAGATAAACCACATTTACACAATATCCAAGAGATGCTAAAAAAAAATCTAGGACAAAACAAAAAGACCACCATGCCACCCACGCCAGCCCACATTCACATAAGCAGATATCACTATTAATCCTGACTGACCAAAATACAGTCCACCTCCTGAATCCAGCAGTACAGTAAACAGTGCTTGGAGGCTGGTGAGGATTCATGCAACTGGTAGCATCAATGTCACTTTTTAAGATCAAACTTACCTTTTATGGCTGTTTAGAATAGAATAGAACTGGAAGGGACCTTGGAGGTCTTCTAGTCCAGCCCCCTGCTCGAGCAGGAGAATCTATACCATCTCAGACAAGTGACTGTCCAGCCTCTTCTTAAAAATTTCCAGTGATGGAGCGCCCATGATTTCTGGAGGCAAGCTGTTCCACTGGTTAATTGTCCTCACAACTCTCAACATCTTTTTTGTGATATGATGATCAAAATTGGCTGCAGTATTCAAGGTGTGGTCTTACTAGGATTTTATAAAGCAGTACTAATACTTTGCGTAATCTTGATTCTATGTCTCTGTTTATACAACCCAGGATTGTATTAGCTTTTTTGATTGCTGCTGCACACTGCTGGCTCATAGTCAAGTAATCGTCCACTAAGACTCTAAGGTCCTTCTCACAGTTACTGTTTTTGAGCCAGGTCTCGCCCAATCTGTACTTGTACCTTTGATTTTTCTTGCCTAAATGTAAAATTTTGTTTTTCTCCACATTGAAACTCATTTTGTTGGATAGGGCCCATTGTTCAAGTTTGTCAAGATCTTTTTGGATCCTAAGTTTGTCTTCTGGGGTGTTGGCTACTCCTGTCTGTTTGGTGTCATCTGCAAATTTGATGAGTTCCCCTTTTTAGTAGTTTGATAAGTGCTGAATTAATAAACATGCAGATCCTCTTTAAAGATGGGATTATTTTTTGTTTATTCTTTTCATGGTCTTATATAGTTTCAAGCAATATGAGTTTAAGCAGCATGTAACATACCTTTATGACAATGATAATCAGCATAAATCAATAAAATAATATGAACAGCATTTCAATGGCATAAAAACTATCTCAACCCAATCATTTTCATCATTATTTTTTCAGTTACTTGTATATTTCTAGAATTTCCATCCCACAGTTGATACATTTTTATCTCATAAAGAAGTTACTGCACTTCCTTTCTGAAGTCTTATTATATTGTTACGTATTATTACATTTTCTTATATAATAATTGTTAACATTTCTACCTAAAGTGATAGGACACTTTTTCCTTTTCCTTTTACACTTATCTCAAAGTGACTGCAATTAGTAACAAGCAAAAAAAGTGAAAAAACAATTAGTGTTTTATGGGGTTTTTTTCTTTTTTAGATTACTAGATTCATAAATTTATGATAAAAACTGACAGCAATTCTCCTCTTCTAGAAGTAAGAGAATAATAGATCTGAAGGGGGATTTTTTTTCAGATCCTTCCATGAATGGTGTTTGCGCAGCTTCATATCCCACACAATCTATTTCTTTAGACAGTTCAGCTAATTCATTTCACAGTAATAGTTCCACACAAGACATCCAATCTGAATTTGCTATTGAGGCTCTGACAGCCTATGGAGCCTCAGGGTGGGCTCCATTGATGGAAAATCTTGCAGTCATCATGACTTCTGGAATTTCTCACTTCCCTGTAAAAATAATTTTGATTAGCAGTGTTCTTCAGTTTTAAATTGAGCAAGGGGAGATAGCCTTGTAGTTTTGCCCTCATAGTTTTCAGCCTCCTCACCGCTGATTATAAATGCTTATGATCTAAAAAGTAGCAAATATTTAGCAAAAGTTTCCATGCATGAGGGGTAGGAAATTATTGACACTAGGGATAGTTCTTCCTTAGTCTATCAGAGGATAGTTATTGCAGGTAGAAATGGGAGGAGAGATTGCCTTTCATTACCTACATCTACTAAATGAAAGGAAAAATAAGATATCTAATCAGTCAATCACCATCTGCAAGAATTCCTTTAAAGCAGAGGTCCCCATCTTTTGGGGCACCAGGGACCGGTTCTGTGGAGAGAGGTTTTTCCAGAGACCGGAGGGTGCGTGATTTTGTGTGCTGCCTGCATCTCGCGGATGGGGCTTTGCTTGTTTGTGCGGACCAGTTGCTGGCATGCCGTGGCCCGGTACTGGTCCACGGACTGAGGGTTGGGGACCCCTGCTTTAAAGCCCTCATACTGGTATACAAGAGGGCTGCCATACAAATGGAAATAATAAATCAATAGGAAAATTTTGTTTAAATAATCTGATATATTATCTAATTAGTATTGAGCTACAATAAAATATATGACCATTACACACACAAACACACACACACTAAAAGTGTAAAAAAAGATAGAAAATACAGTACTGTAATGATATGCTGGAAATGTTTTGCTTACAGTGGCACTATGCTGATCATATACGACACATGAGAATTGAAAAATGTAATGTTAGCAAAATTAAATACATTTTTAAACTCTAAAAGATTAATATATAATTACCTAATACCATAATATTTTTTTTTCATCTTAGGATCTTCTTCCACGAATGACACTCGGGCAAGTCCAAGATCCTTTCCCTTTAGAGTACAGGTAGAAGAATATGAATCTATTCCACCTTTTGATAACGATGCTGAAAACGATTTGGAAATTGGATCAGGATCTAGCAGTCAAAGCAGAACACGGAAACTTCCAAAATATGGTCTAGTGAGAGATGTGGAACCCTACCTACTTAGTAAATGGCTGACCCTTTTCGTTCCAGGAGTCTATACTCTAGTTGCGTCCTTGAGTCTTCCTCTGAACATCACAGCCATTTTTCTGTTCTTGCTAAAAATGAAGGTGAAGAAGCCAGCTGTAATGTACATGCTCAATTTGGCTTTTGCAGATGTACTTTTTGCAAGTGTGCTTCCATTTAGGATTGTCTATCATTTTTCTGGAAACCATTGGCCTTTTGGACCTGCAATGTGCCGCTTTGTCACTGCAACATTTTACTGCAACATGTACTGCTCCATTCTGCTGATGACAGTGATCAGCATCGATCGTTTCTTGGCTGTGGTGTATCCAATGCAATCTCTGTCCTGGCGCACCCTAAGGCGTGCCTCTGTGGTTTGTGTTGCCATCTGGCTCGTATCTATTGCTGGAGTGGTTCCTTTGTTTATCACTGAGCAAACAAGGAACATACTTCCTCTAAACATAACAACTTGTCATGATGTACTGAGTGAAGCTGATCTCCAAAACTATTATCGTATTTTTTTCACTATTTTCTTTTCATTTTTCTTTTTTGTGCCATTAATTGTTTGTATTGTTTGTTATGTCTGCATCATCTGGTGCCTTAGCTCTTCAAACATCGCTGCAAAAGGTAAAAGGAAACGAGCTTTACTGTTGTCTGTGGCTGTTTTATCCATTTTTATTATATGTTTTGGCCCAACAAATGTTCTCTTGCTAGTTCATTATGTACGTTTTTCTTACAGCAATTACACGGGGAATATATATTTTGCTTATCTCCTCTGTGTCTGCATTAGCAGTGTAAGTTGTTGTATTGACCCTTTGATCTATTATTATGCCTCCTCTGAATGTCAGCGTCAGTTGAGCAATTTATTACGTTGCAGAAAGGACTCTGAACTCTGCAGCCTTACCTCTGATAATCCTCTGGGGAGTAGAACAAGCCAAAGGGCTACTGGCACCAGTACAATTGATAACAGTCTCTATCGAAAATTACTAGCATAGAAACATGTTTTGGTTGTTTCTGGTATATCTGCCTCCATTTTAAAAAATAACTGCTGTGAGGAATATTCAGACATGAACACCCTTTATCAGTCTCTTTTATTAATATAAAATCTGTCACTGTAAGAATTGCAGTAAATGGAGAAAACTTTGGGAGACTGTAAGTAGTATGTGTGTACCTACATATATCTTCATTTAAGGCAAAAATGGAACACAAATTTGTAAAATGCTGTTAAACTTTAATGAGATCTTGTCTTTTCTAAGACCTATTGTAGGATTATGTTGTTACATTTTTACACAGAGGTTGGCTGTCCTGAGAGGTATGGTAACACACAATTCCTTTTTGTGTCCAAATCAGTCTCTCCGAGATGTGAGCCCAAATGATCCAGGGAATCTGATCAAGTATGGTTTTTCTCCCACCACATTATATTCTTCTGTGAGCATAAGAAACAATTTGAGAGGCATACAGATTAATGAAAAAAAAATTCACTAAGGGGAGCCATGGAATAATTCTTTCTTTGTGATTTCACATAATTTGAAAAAGATCAAGCTATTGTTTGCACAGCCCTGTTATTTTATGGGCAAAGTGCCCATAAATTACTTTGTAATTTTTTGCTCTATTAATGCTGTACAAATGTTTTATATTTTATTTTTGAAAATTGAATTATACTCAGTTAATAAATGTGCAAATGGTCTTTGTGTTTGTGATTTTCTATTAATTCATAATTTAGAAACTAAGCCTCAAAACAGTGTTGAAAATATGCCGCAAGTTAAATTTAAAAAAATCATTCATTCATTCATTCTGCACATAAATGCTGCTTTTCCAATGGCCAAACCAAATCCTAAAGTTTCCTAATATAGGTAGTTCTTGATTTACAATCATTCAATTGGTGACTGTTAGACATTACACACTGAAAAAAGTGACTTATGACCTTTTTTCATTTACGACCTTCGCAGCATCCCCATGGTAACTTGATCAAAATTCAAATGCTTGGCAACTGACTCATATTTATGACAGTGGCAGTGCCCTGGGGTCATGTGATAACCTTTTGCGACCTTCTGACAAAGTCATTAGGGAAGCCAGATTCACTTAACAATCTGGTCACTAACTTGTAAGTCTTCAGAGGGAAAGCAAATGATACTGTGGAGATTTCTTCAATCTACGCACAGCATGCTATGGGGTTGTAGTGCACTGTTTCCCCATGCTGTCTGGGGATTTCTGGGAGTTGAAATCCACATATCTTAAAGGCTCTGCGATTGAGAAACACTGCTTCGTTAAATGTCTATGGAGATTCTTGGTCATCCAGGTCACGGTTGTCCCAAAGGCAACTGGACTTCGTTTTTTCTTGAAGATGTTTCGTTTCTCATCCAAGAAGCTTCTTTATTATAACTGAAGAAGCTTCTTGGATGAGAAGTGAAAGGTTTTCAAGAAAAAATAAATTCCAGTTGCCTTTTGAAAAAAGTGCCTTTAGGACATAAATGTACATTTCACATATTACCTTCAAATAGTGAATACAGAACTCTGTATATTTGTTCATAAGCAGATACTTTCAGATGTTATGATGATGACATATGAGAGTTGTATGGTTGTGAGAGACACACTCCTGCTGTGTATAGTATACACACTGTGACACACACTGTGTATAGTATACACCAGGCATGTCCAAAGTCCGGCCCGCGGGCCATTTGCGGCCCGCGGCCCGGTTTAATCCGGCCCTCGAACAGCCCTCCCTGCTCTATGTAAATGCGGCCCTCCCACGGCCCTCCAGCAAGTCCCATGAGAGAGAGAGACAGAGACAGAGACAGAGACAGAGGCACTTGCACTTCTGTCTCTCTCTCTCTCTCTCTCATGGGACTTGCCCCCTCACAGGGCTCCTCATTGGCCCTGCGCCCGGGTGTCCCGCCCCCTGGGAGAAGGGCGGCCAGGAAGTCCCTTTCCCAGGCTGGCCCCGTCCCAGGCGCACGTGGCTGGGGAGCCATGCGGGGAAGCCCCGGGATCCCCGCTGGGAGCAACCCCCCGGAGCCTTTGCTGAGTGGGCCAGCCCTCCCGTAAGCCGCAGCCCCGAGAGAGCAGCCCCTGCGATGTCCAGCC